TATATATATATATATAATCAAAATTTTGTATAAGGCTATAAAAAAAATCAATGAATAAAAAATTTTATATAATTTGAGCATATGGGTATTTCATATATTTATGCATAGACAACACTTTCAAAACTAAAATTTTCAAACTGAACTATTTCTAGAACACTAGCTTTTAAACAATAAATTTTTCACAATAATTGTTTCCGTTCATTTTTCTCTTTTTCATTTTTAAAAGTAGTCACCAGCTTGTCGATCGTCAGAACTGTCCCAAACGCACCTTTAGATTTTAATTGCAACATGCAAGATTGCATTCCATGTCAACTTTCATGGATTATGAAAAAGAGCTATTATGTGTCCGTGGATGGATTAATATAGCTCACTTGAGAAACCATATCATATAGAGGTAGCATACCAGACTACTTAGAGAAGCGTACATCGGAAGAAAAAACTCCAAAGAGAAACACTGCCAATAAAGTATGAACTCAAATTGCATGAATGGAAGCCCAAATCTGTATAGCTATGGGATAACAAAAGCAGAATAGAATAACTAAAATATGAGAGACTATTCAGTCCAAAAATTTAGAAAAAAAATTAGCCAGAATTTGTTCTAAATATTGTGAAACAATGTATTGACCCATATAAATCATACTAACTTCTCCAATTTTCTTCAACATTAGATCTAATCCTGGATTTGGTAAATCCTAAGGATGGCAGAGCTTAAGAAATTAAAACAATTTCCCTTCATTGTTTACCTTCTTCTCCTTCATATAAACTTACAATCAATTAAGATTTAATCAGAATAACACATATGAGGTCAAACAATTTTCAAGATTTAACACCTCCAAGATGTATTAAATATGGATCTGCAAGATTTTAATAAATCCCACTAGATGTAAATCCTAAACAACAGCAATAACATCAATAATATTAACTCATCTAAAATGAAATTCATATTTTAACATGTATGTTTGATGGCATTTAAAAGTAGGATTTTATATAATAAAATATAAAAATTTTGGGTGCTGGTTTTGTAAATACATGAGAATTCAATGATATGCATTTAAATCCACCAAAAAAAAAATATCAAAGCATCATCGATTTATCATCAGCATAAAGAAAACAAGACAATGTAGAGAAATCACAGCGTACCCAATAGATCACTGAAACCTCACATCCTCTATGAAATCAGGTTGCCCTAGCTCCACACCACCAGCCACCAATCCATCCAACTCGCCACCGGCTTCAGCCCTCACCGAAACCTGATCCATTCCTATATACCCCATCGCCGTCCCGTCCTTACCCGCATTCTCTACCACCTCATCAACTGCATCCGTCGGGCCCCTCACCTCCTTTCCCTCGCCACCCTTGCTGCTAGCAAATTTTCCATCCAACCTCGGCCTCAGCTCCGCGTAAGCCCGCCGATTCTCATACCTCACCGTCTTCTCAAACTTACGGCTCTTCCTCTTCTCCCTGTACCGCATCACGCTCTCCATCCGCCGATAAGACGTTGCTTTCCCGGGAATCTGACGCCACCCCCTCCGTTGTCCGTCCGCCGGAGAAAGCTCGTCCTCATCCGATGATAGATGGACGACAGCGTTTGGATCTGAGCTAGGGTTAGCAAAAGGATAAGGGTAAGGGTAGGGATAGGGATAATAAGGGAAGTGTGGCATATTGGCGTTAGGGTTAGGTGTTACGGACACGATGCAGTTGTTTCCGTGGACGACGGCAGCGCAGCCGGTGCAGAGAAAGGACCACTCTACGCGGCAGAATGGTATACCAGGAGCTGAGCGACAGGACTCGCACTCCCGCGCGGCGGCGGCTGTCGGCGGCTGGGCCGCTGATTCAGGGACCTTAGAACCGCTTGTGCTAGCCATTGAGCCAAGCTCGTCGCCGGCGAACTCGCGGATTTCGGCGACGGGTGGAGATGAGAGGGTGCGCAGTGGGTGAGTTTGGAACGATAACACGTGGATGGCTGTCTAGCCACGTAAATAGAATGAGGGCAGAATGGGTTTCGATTGTGAGGAAATGGAAAAGTTCGGCGACTTTTCTTTAATAATTAAATACATAACAATTAAAATTTCAAAGATTTACATCCAAACCACTTATTTGGTTGGATAAATAAGGAGATGAAAGGTCAACAATTTTTTTTATCCGGTTAATTAAATAAATTAAACACGAACAGTTATGCGTTTGTTCGTGTTCAACTTATTATTGTTCAAAATATAAAATAATTATATATAAAAATTTTATGATATTTAAAAAATTAAATTTCATAAATTATAATATATAATAAAATAAAACTAATAATATATTAATATACTGTATTATTAATATATTAATAATATAGATATTAAATATTTATATAATATAAGTTATATAATTAATATTAGGTATGTCAAACTAGCTCGTCATTCGTAAACAACTCATATTCGGTTCGTTCGTTAAGAAACAAACGCGAACAGTGACTTTACGAATAATTTCGAACGAGCTTATTTCAAACAAACTAAATTTCAAACGAATCAAACACAAATACAAGTTTTTTTTGTTCGTGTTTGGTTTATTTACACTCCTACAGACCACTTAATTCCAAAATGATTCTTCTAAAAACTAAAGGCTTACTCTACAATAGTGCACAACAATAAATGTTGAAGTTAAATACCTCTTTACATTTAAAAGGCAAAAAAATAGTTAAAAATACATTTTTATGTTGGAATTATTAGTTGCTAGGGAAAAAAATAACAACTATATGAAGCATGGAATATATGTAATATATTATTATATAAATAATTATATATATATATATATATATATATATATATATATATTTATCTCAAGCTATTAATGGTTTTATTTCTAATTATAGAAGATGGCTTTATATTTATTTTGTGCCATGCATGATTTGTATAGTGATCAACTGTGATATGATTTTATTTTAAAATTTGGAGTAAAATCTGAGTACATGGATTTTTTCTAAGGACATAAATACTTACTCATATTTATATCGACATGCTCACAAAAAAGTTGAAGTTATCAAATTTAGTTTTAAACTCAATGAAAAAGTTTCTCTCGTCTTAGTTGCAAAAGTATACGTAGGATTTGATTGGAGTGGTTTTATAAATCATAAACATAATAAAATGATGCTTTCATAAACAATACCTTCATACCGGTACAAATACACATTTATTTATTCAAAAAAAATGGTAATAACAATCCATAATCTCGGAGTGAATCCTCGTGGCATTAGAAGCTATCTTTTTGCTTTTAGTGCTCTAAGGAGTGATCCATAATTTTTTGACCTCTCATTCTATCACGACTTTTTTCCATCTACTGATCTCTTAAGAAAACAAAATTTTTATCAAATCCCATAATTATTCAATAATATAATACACGGCAAGTAAATACAATATCAATTAGGATTTGTAGTAGATACTGAGGTATGCACTTTATAATTCCAAAATGACTATCCTAAGAATTAAATGCATAGTCCACCTTAGTAATAACTATTGAAGTTAAATACCTATTTAAAATTAAAAGGAAAAATAACTAAACTCCTTCAAAAGACATCACTCTACACATGATGTGGGGAATGTAATCTTTTCATGTGAAATGGCAACCACCACATAAGTAATATTTACATGCTATAAAAACTTGATGGTGATTAAGGAATTTGATATCAATTAGTCAACAATGTTTGAGGCGCCGAGCATTCAATATTTGTTAGTGCTCGCAGAGCTTAAAATTTATTATTTAGACATACTAGGAAACTTTGATAACTTTGATAAGTAATAATACTCTAGAAATTTAGTATTCATAAACTTTGGAATTTGTAGTTTAGCTTCCGCCAATAATTAAAGCAACATAGGCCATGCATTATGTCAAATTTCTAGAAGGCAAAAAAGAGAAGCCATTGAACTTGAACACCAACTTCTTATAATAAAATTTGCAATGAGTAGAGAGTAAAGTCAGTTTTTTTAGGCGGGTTGGTATGGTCATACTCATGAAGATCAAAGTCTAGCAAAATATGAGACCCATTTTAGGCATTAACCAAGCCATATAGCTTGGAGTTCTCCCATAGTGGCAATAGCTATATTACATAGCGATAATATTCGCCTCTTAACAATAAGTCTAGAAGATTATCCTAAAAAAAAAAAAAAGGTTCAATGAAAGGAGAAGCCCATACTAGACATTAACCAAGCCTTGAAATTCGAGCTCCCACATTTATAATAAGGATCGCATTTAGTAGTAATATTAATCATTTTTAAGTGCCAAGTCTAGACGATTACTATATTAAGATAAAATGTTCAACAAAACACGAGCCTACTGTAAGCGTTGACCATATCCAAAGATACAAAAGAAGCATAAAGCCAAGCAAGACATGAAGACCTTGTCCAAACAAATATTTACTTGCATGCCTTACACCAAAACTTTTATTAACTACCACATTATCTACTATATAGCTAATTCTATTTAGATTGCTACAATGTGATCATCACTTTGTTTATCATGAAGTCATTGTTGCTTCGTTTCATTGGATAAAATTTCAGATGACAGATCAATAATCAAGCTACACACACAAACCCACTCAAAACTTACCTTCTTTAATTGTTCCTTCATAAGAAGAAATGAAATTAATATGATTTTCATCAAAATTGAGCCAATACCAATCTAACTTCCCATTATAACTTTGAATTAAAATATAATAAGCATTAATGCCTCATACACAGACCTAAGATATATCTGAGCCAAAACCAATTGGAGAAATGACCTTCAATTGTTAAGGAATTTAAAACATCCACAACATTAAATGATGTCTAATAAAAAAGCATAGGGTTTACATACATTCTACATAATTCTCATGTATGTACATATCTAACAACTAAACATTTAAATTTACATGTATAAAACACACATCTTTAATATCACATAAAAAAATGTCATAATTACTAAAAAGCGAAATAGAAAATTTCATGCATATGTTTATGTCATCATATTGGTATAAATGTAAATATTAAAATTTAGGTATTAGCATGTAAATACATAATAATTATGTAGTATGCATGTAAATTTTCTAAGAATAAAGTATGTAGATGTTTGATCCACCCAAAAAAAAAAAAAAAAAAAAAAAAAAAAAAAAAAAAAAAAAAAAAAAAAAAAAAAAACTTACTCATAAAATGAATTTGAATCTTAAATTTAACACAGATATTCATTAAAAATTAAATTATGTATATATATAATTATAGTTAAAGTTTAAGATCCCAATTAATCATTAAATATAAAACTAGTTAAACATAATAGCTTTTATTATTCATATCAAATTGCAAAATAAAATTAATTAATTTAAACTATTATATCATTAGTTAATTATCGAGATTAACTTAAAATTTAAATAAATATTTGATATATGTTTGTTTTTACTCAAAATATAATGGAAAATTTACATTTAGATCACACGAATTTTATATATTTACATCTTTAGCATTAAAAATTCAATATTTATATTTGTAATATTTGGTATTAAAATTTTTGTATAAAACTATATAATTATTTTTAGAAAATTAATGATAATGATGATATCTTTATATGATGCAAAAATTTTAAATGTTATATATGAATATGAACAAATAAGTGTTAATTATGTGGTACGTATGTAAATGGCCCAAATATATTCAGTAAATACGAAAACCCCATGTTTCTGCCCCAAATCCGCTTCCCCAGATTCCCAAAACCCTCGACGACGAAGACGATCGGACGTCGCGAGTGGAGATCCCCGGAGGAGGCTTTGACGGGAGCGGCGGCGTGCGAAGATGAGCATGTGGAGTTCATGAGACTTGCAGATTTGCTAATCCCACCCAATGCAGGGATTTACTAAATCCAGGATTCAGGCAAAACGCAGGTGAAACGGTGATATAGCCGGATTTGAAATATCTTTTTGACCGTTTGGCTAGATTTACGCTAAATCCTGCGACCGAACAGCTCTTCTGCTGTCCCAGCGTCTGCCCCACTTGTAGCTGCAGCCTTGCTCTTCAGCACCTTAGGAGCGTCGGTGGTGCCGGTTCGCCATTCAGCTCCGCTATCACAGGTTGTCCGGCTTTGATATTTAAAGCTATAAATTTTCCTTGATGTGTGGAAAACTAATTCAGGATATTCTTCAAAATCTGTCAACATTTTCATTGATATACTATTTTAAATTCTGCAGACAATTTCACCAAGTTTTTAGAACCTGCTAATCTTCAAACATTTTGAATTGATTTATGCAAATATTTTCTAAATTTTTCGTGGTAATATTGAACTTACACTCATGCAGTTACTCATGTGAACAAGTTTGATTAGTGTTGCAGTATTACTGAGATGCTATTAAGGAGGGCTTTATAGAATTGGAGTGAATAATTCAATTCCTAATCAACTTAATTTTATTTGGGTGATGTTGATTCTTATATCTTGGAATGATCAATATTTCATAAACGAAAATTAAGACAAAATGAACTTCTATCTAGTACATTATATAAAATTAAATCTAGTTGATGTTGATTCTTACATCATGTAATTGTTAGTATTACATAAAAAAAAATTAATAAAAATAATTTTTTTAATTAAGTAGATCGTATAAAATAAAGATTAAAATTATAGATGATTTTTTGAGCACGATATATTTTTAATAATGCACTTATTTTATTTTTTGTCACGCCTTTGCATCATTATCAAGCATTTAAGGCATAGACCATATCTGAGGGGCAAAATTGTGACACTCGAAGATGCGTCAAATTTGAGAATGTGTAATCAAGACAATTGTTGAATGAGAGCTAGCACTCAAGATAGTCCATCCTTAATGGATTCACCAATATCTATTGGAATCAAAAGGACTCAAAATATCTTGTGACCAATGACTCGATGGATGCCATGATCATGCCATACAAGCCCCTATCTTTTGAGTAAAAGTTGACGGATGGTAGCTTACATTAAAAAGCTAGATTTTACTTACTTGAAAGGTGACACCAAATATATTTTATTTT